GTTAAACCTAATTTAATAGGAGTCAAAAACAACAACGACAACAACAACAAAATCCCAAAGAAAATTATTATCATTATTATTATTATTAAACGTTTCCGAAAGGTAATTAAGGTCTCGCATTTAAACCCTATAATAACCTCCCGAAAAAAAAAATTTTACTTTAAGGTCAAGGATATTAATAATAATAATAAAAGGTCGGCCCTGCCGCGGACGAAAATTTTACGTTTAAATATCAAAAAAAAAAAAAAAAAAAAAATAATAATAATAATAATAATAATAATAATAATAATGTCAACGTTTTTGGAATTAATTTTTTTTTTTTTTTACCTCGATTGGGAAAAAAAAAATTTTTTTCTGGATAATTTTCCAGTTTTTCCCGTCCGTTGCGAACACACACGCAATCCCGAAATTTTTTCCCGGTAAAATTTTCAAGAGGGAAACGATTGGGGAACGGGGGTGTGAATCACGATGGGATGGACGGTGGAAAATTTTGAGGGGAAATCAAAAAAAAAAAAAAAAAAAAAAAATGGGGAAAAGCGAGTGAAAAAAAAAGAGGTGGGGGGAGGAGGGAAGGGGGAGGGGAAAAAAAGTAAAAACGTTTTTTGATTTTCTACAGACGCATAAATCAAAAATTTTCATTTTCCCGTTTCCTTCCTTCCTTCCCACCTTCCTTCCTTTCTCTTTGGTACTCCTCCGTTTCCTAAAATCCGTTAAATTTTTTTTTTTTTTCTCCCTTCTTTCTCTTCATCCCCACTCTCCTCCTTCCTCCCGCCCGTTTCTCTTCTTATTTGACGGTCGATCCGACATGATGAATGATTTCAAACGTACTCCCTCCTATAAAATAATAATAAATTTTTAATTACGAATATGCAAACACACAAATAATAATAATAATAATAATAATAATAATAATAATAATAATAATAGTACAACAGGGGAAAATTACTTTTCCAGATAGAACACATTTGTTGAATTTTGTCAAAATGATTTTTGACGACGGCGACGACGACCTGAAAAAAAATGTACAGTAACGTTGGAGCCGTAACTCAATCCGGATTTTCACGTTCGAAAACTAAAGAACGAAACGGAGGAGGAGGAAGTGGAGGAGGCGGTGGAGAAAGAGAAAATTCAAAAAATGGAGATTTAACGGAAAATCATGGAGAACACACCATAAGCTCGAGATTTTTGAAATTCATACGGCGTAAAATAAATCCAGCTGTTGGTAAGTCGTTATATTATTTCCGTCTTTCTTTACTTCTTTTTTTTTCTTCTACTCAATTTTTCTTTAATGATAATAATGATAATAATAATACCCGAAGTCGTAATTCTACTGCGTTAAATAATTGACGACATTTTTCGCATTTTCCCTCTCTTCTCTTCATCCGCTACAACTCAC